TCCACAGTGTGTTATGGGCGTATCGAACCACACCTCACCCAACCACGGGGGAAACACCATTCCGCCTCACATACGGAACCGAGGCGGTGATCCCAGTCGAGATCAGAGGACCGTCCAAACGGATTGGGGCGCCCCTCGAAATTGAAACCAACGACGAAGCCCTCCGGGAGGAGCTCGGCCTAGTCGAGGAGATCCGTTCTGGGGCAGCTCTCCGCGAAGCCAGGCTGGAAAAAATATAGCACTTCGCTACGACAGCAGAGTCCTAAAACGCGAGTTCCAGGTCAGCGACCTAGTCTTGCGAAGAAACCAGAAGGACTCTCACGAGGGAAAATTGGCCGTAAATTGGGAAGGTTCGTATCGTGTTCGTGACAAGACGGAACATGGGGCCTATTACCTTGAAAACCTACACGGGGATCAACTAGCTCGACCATGAAACGCTGAGAAGCTGAAAAGGTACTATAGTTAAACACTGCCCGTTACGACAAAGCGCTGCGACCACAGGGGGGCGACGTGGTACTATCGTACCTCCTCGCGTCTTCCCGATACCAACGAAATAGAAAGCCCTGTCTTTGTGTGTGCAGGCAGAAGGCTCTGCTCGATGAAGAACCCCTCGACCGAGGCTCCCCGCCGCCGTACCAAAATCGGCAGGACACTCAGCTCACGATGGGACATTTATGTCGCAGGGATAAACTACCCCTGTACCGACCACGTAACGAAACCTGTCAACCGGTTAGTTCTCCACACTATCGGACATAATTATCGTCGAGCTACTACCCCCAGACACACCAAAAGGCATACAAACATACATTTTAAGCATACAAACATGGAGAAATAAAACGAGCATATCATCATGCAGAAATAAAACATAGCGCACACTTAAACAAAATTTCATATTATAAAAACGGGCACCAGCCCAGTAGTCATGATTACAATGTCAAAAAAGGGCACGCAGACCCAACAAAAACACTTACCAGAAAGACATAAAAGATTTGGCGCGCAGGCCCAAAATCTACGAGCACGCCTACAAGTCTACACATCCTCATCATCCCCTACTTTGGGCTCGTCCATGGGAGCAAAGTGATCAACAGCCTCGAGACTAGGATCGACCACCCGTCTATCGACAATCTGGTGGAAAGACCTGATTCCGTCCTCGACCAGGCTGACATCGGGGTTAACCACTTTGAGTTGCGCCACGGCGCCAGAAAAACCAACCTCGACTGCCTCCAAACAGTCGTTCTCCAACTCCCGGATCCTAGCGAGCAGCTCCGCACGGGTGACCATCTGCCTATCCTTATCAGTCTCATCCTCGGCAGGACAGAGCGAACTCTCCAGCTCCCTCACACGAACCTTCAGTGCCTGCACCTCCGCTTCAGCGGCCGTCAGCTTCTCTTCAGCACTATCTCCTCTTTTGCATTGTGTGGCCGCCTCTCCCTGGCTCTTCTCTAGCTCCCCGGTAAGTTTGGTCAGCCGCGACTGTGCGAAGGTAAGGTCACCCTGTAGCTTAGACAGCTCAGCAGAGGAGCAGCTCTCGTCGCTCAGGACCAACGCCGTTGTGAAAGTTTGCATCATAGCAGCTAGATCCTCCGTCAGAACCTGTCCACAAGCATCCCTGTCTGAACTGAGAACTACCTTCTCCTCCCCGACCGGAACATTAGGCGACCTGGCTCCATGGAAGAAACCGGGGTGCTGATGACAAGGCGGGATCGTGAAACCCTCCTCGGCAGATCCATCTGTCAAGTCGACCACACCCTCTGTCCGGTGAATTTTAGGCCTCTTCGCATCCCCTTGAGATATGGGTGATTGGCTACTCTGGGGAGACAAAGAAGAACACTTACCCCCCTGATCAGCAACGGCTTGCCCGACAACCTGACCAAGTCGTGTCTTCTTGGTAGCAGCGGCTCTCGATGCGGCTAGCTTCTCCACTCTCTCTCTCTCTCTCTCTCTCTCTCTCTCTCTCTCTCTTTGACGGAAGACATACTCCCTGCAAAGACGAAAGAGACGAGTCAGTAAACAAATAAAAAATAAGAGGTCAAGGGAAGAAGGAGGCGGCCACCACCTAGGTAGCTAAGGGCCTCATCCTCCGACGAGCACTCGACCAGAGCCTTCCTGTTGATAAACCTCTTCTTCTGGAATACACGCCCCTGATCATCGCATAGATACCTACCGTCGAGCGTCACTAAATTCGACGGGGGCAGGCTAGACATGAATGCGACTATCTTCTGGTAGCCGGCCAGATCCTCCTCGTCGAGAGTTTCCGCCCGCATGATGTAATGATCGGTAACCTTCGAGAAGTGCTCCTCGGTCCACTCCAAGGACACTTTCGGCATCATGACCTCCTCCCGCTGCCCGTTCACTATCTGCTCCCCTCTCCGGTACAACGTGGAGCACGCTCTGTGAAAAATCGGTCGGACGATGGAAAAGCGCGACTTGAAATCCTAGACAGAGTCCATATACGTTCGAAAGAGCTTGTTCGGATGTTTAAACGAGACCCATCCATGTCGGCCATCCACCACCTGCATCTGCAGATGGAAAAGACGAAAAAATAACGGTAACATGGCCCTGACCTCCAGATATCTACAGACGATCTCGAACGCCCGGATAAAGGCTATGGCGTTGGGGTGCAGTTCAGAGGGGGCTAACCGCAGCCAGTCGAAGACCCCCAATTGGAAGTCCGTAAACGGTAATCTAAGACCGGCCTCCTGAAAGAAAAACTCGTACATAGGGAACCGCATCTTCCCGTATTTCGAACAGATGCGATGGTGATCGCGGGGCCGATACACCTGCCAATTCATGGGTTCTTCCGTATGCCTGTCCTAGACGATGGCGAAAGCACCGGTTTGCTCGGCGGCAAAATAAGAAGGCGTCATCAGAGGCTCGTCGGCCACCTACTCTTTGACTGGACGAACTCTGTCCTCGACAGAAGAGGTCTTCAGTTCCTTGTCCTTGACCATTGTCCCCGGGAACCACGAAGTCATTAACACCTAAAATCAGAAGGTAACGGTGAATTCGATAACCAAGATCAAATTCACCCTTCCACCGCAAGTCAAGTGAAAGGGGGACGAGGACGACACCCGCGAGCGATAGTTTAAAGAGGCCCGGGCAGCATCCTCGAGGGACTTATCCTAAATCCTTCCCTCTCCCCGGTATACCCATCTGTCTCTATCACATATCCCTGGGGCGCTCATTCAATCACCCTCTTGCGTCCCTGGGAAGTTCATCTAAACTACATACTCTCCCCGGGACATTCAACTGATCCTATTGTCCCTCCCCGGGGCATTCATCAAAACAAGCATCTATCCCCGGGGGCTTAAACTATCCACTCACGCGTCCTCGGCGCCTTCGTCTAAAAAACCTAGTAAACACCACCTACGGCGGCGGAGATTCACCTCCCTCCTTGGGACATTCAACATGCCCCGACGCCAGTTCTAAGATGCGAAACAAGGAAAAGACAAGAAAGTGAAACTTACTGGATTACAAGTAACGGCGGGATACGCGGCAGCGGTTACGGCGGTAGTGACAAACGATTGCGAACTAGCAGATCCTCGTGTGTGGAAGAAAGCATAAACGAAAATGAGGAATGGGCGGGGGCTCGCTTACTTATACCCCAGCACGAGACTCGAAGCATCTCCTAGGCACTCGAGTACCCTAGGGTAGCCGCCCCTCATGGCCCGTCCAACGCTTGACACGTGGTGTAGGCTGACAGTCACGGCCCTTCATATCTCCCCATCAATGGCGTCTGTCGGGCATGCGTCCGACGACACGAAGACACTCACGCTAGCACATCCTCGCGAAACACGAACCGGCGAAATCTCTCCCCGCGCAAACCTCCTGCCTCGGTATAACGTCATCAAGTCCTCGCTCCCTCCCCTCGGAGCTACGACTTAGGGGGCTCCTATTCTGGCATGGGCCCCGACTTGACCGGGCAGGCCCAACCCAATAATACTTGGGAAGGCCCAATCAGGCCTATCTCACCTACGTCGAACACAATGGTCCCCGTCGTCCAGACACTGCCCCTGCGGGCAGAACCTTTCTTCCTTCGAGCAGAACAACGTGTCCTTCACACGTTCTCCATGTACTCCCTTCCGCGGGGACACGTCATCAACCAACTACCCACCTCCGAAAGAGCAGGTTAACCCACCTTCCGGAGATCACGGGACAGTTGAACTAGGGCGAAGACCACGTTCTGGTCTTCACTACGCCACGTAAGCCCTAGCAGTCATTTCGGTTGGGTATGGCCATCCAGCCCAAATCAAATGACTGTTGGCCCAGCGTTGAGGTCTCTCTATAAATACCCTCTTTCACTAAAGGGTCAGGTATTCAGTTCTCTACCTCTATTCTGTATTTGCTGCCACTCTGTCCAACCTCTTACTTTGGCATCAGAGTGTTTTGCAGGTACACCCCCTCCTCCTTCTCAACACCGGTGAATAGGAATCAATCCAACAGAGTGTGGCCAGCCAGCGATCCCCTTCTGATCAGGTCAGATCAGTTAGACATTCTTTAATAAGTAAAAAATGATGGGATAAATATTGAATATCCTGATCTTACCTATGGTCAAATTATAAGCACTTATGTTAATGAAGGATTAACATTATGTAATGATATTAAGCTTAAAAATCAACTTAAGAAATAAAAACTTTCTGAAAAACACCAAATGGGTGAATTCTGTGATTAGTTCGCCTTAGATCTTGGTAGAACCTATGAGAATAAAAATAAAAAGGGAAATATTTTCAAGAATAAACCTCATAAAAATAAGTATAAAACAGCCTTTATTGTGCCTTTTGGACATTATGAATGGAATGTCCTTCATTTTGGCCTTAAAAATGCCCCTTCCGAATTTCAAAATATTATGAATGATATATTTAATCCTTATACAGAATTTATAGTTGTCTATATTGATGATGTCTTAGTTTTTTTCTAAAACTATAGATCCACATGTTAAACATTTAAAAATATTTAAAGGATAAATTAAACATAATGGATTAGTCATATATGCTCCTAAAATGAAACTCTTTCAAACAAAAGTTAGATTTTTAGGTCATGAAATTGACCAAGGAACAATAATTCCTATACAAAGAAGTATTGAATTTGCTTCAAAATTCCCCAATATTATTACAGATAAGAAACAATTACAAAGATTTCTTGGTAGTCTTAATTACATAGCAGATTATTATAAAAATCTTGCTAAAGATACTGCCATATTACATACTAGGCTTGGAAAAAATCCTGGCCCTTGGACTAATAAACATTCTCAGGCAGTCCAACGAATTAAAAATAAGGTTTAATGTTTTCCTTGTTTATCTCTTGCTAACCCTAAGTATTTTAAAATTGTTAAAACTGATGTTTCAGACTTAGGCTATGGAGGAATCCTTAAACAGGTTATACCTTAAACATCAAAAGAAGTTCTGGTCAGATTTACTTCTGGAAAATGGAATCCTACCTAATCTAAATATTCTACTATCAAGAAAGAATTGTTTTCTATTATAAAATATATTTCAAAATTTCAAGATGATCTTCTTAATAAGAAATTCTTATTAAAAATTGATTGCAGCTCAGCTAAATCGATTATCGAAAAAGATGTTAAAAATCTTGTTTCTAAGCAAATCTTTGCAAGCTGACAATCTCAATTATCTATATTTGAATTTGACATTCAACACATTAAAGGTGAGAATAATTCACTTGCCAACTACTTAACTCTTGAATTTTTGCAGGGAAAGAATGATGACCCCATATAGGAGGAGAGGCCGCAGTTATGGTCGTGGTGAAAGAGGGAGTAACAATATGTTACTCCAACCAGAATCAAACATTCCTCTAATAGGGGATTGGACTACAGTTTATAAAGGAAGAAAAATGCAGCAATTACCTGCATCTTCATCAAAAAAGGAAGATATAACTTCCTCCTCTTCTAATAAAAATACATCCTACAAGGAAGTTGTTGTTAATAACCCATCTCAAGAACAAATGGATTATTTTGAAAATACAGTAACTGACAAAATCATGTATATTGATGAAGAAGATAATAAGATAAATCCAAATGATGGATGGTCTGTCAAAACCAGATACCTCGAATCAAGAGGATATCCAAGTCTTCATGGAAAATCTAGGCTTCACCTAGAGATTCTTTTGACTGTTACCGAATCGGTAAGAATTACTCACTACTACCAGAACAATAATCCTGAAAGTTTTATAAACTTCAGTAAATGCCACATTAATAAAATCTTGTTACCAAGAGAATGGGGTCTTAACCCAAATGGTGAAAAGACAATAAAGATTGCTGAAGCAAAGTATATCTAATTTAATTACTGAGACTATGTCCAAGCTTTTACTCAAGCTTTTTATTACCAAAATCCTAAGAACAAACATCCTTGGTTTTTCTCTATTAATCCAGAAATGATTAATAAACCCATACCAAATTGGCTTTACGAATGGTGGACTAAATTTGGTCCGTCTTTGGAAATATTACCCAAAGAATTACTTGATTTATACAATCCCTGGTGTGATAATAGTCTACTTATTATAAATATTTTATCTGATAATTTAATCACACGACAATGTCCATTTTTGTTCTTTACCAAATTTCAGATCCCATGGATATGGAGATTGTTTATCACCATATCTCAATATAAATTCAACATACCCATTTTAGAAAGAAATTTCTTCTATAAATGGTGGAACAAGATGAGTTCTAAAGAAATTCAGAATAAAATTGTTCTGATTCAAGCAACTATAGCTGAAGACCAAAATAATAAAGTCAAAGAGCAAGCCCAACAAATGTCTATGGGAAATTTAAAGAACTTCTTTCAGAAAAAATATCCAAATGAGTCAGAAGAAGAAATTATGGTTAGGACTCTGGATCATATGAAGAACCAATTCTTCTCCACTTTTCCAACTCAAACATCAAAAGATGAGAATTCATATATGAAGACTAGCTCTTCTATGGATCAATTGATTCCAACAACTTTGAATGTTTAGCAAGAGAAGCCCAAGCGGATGACCCCACTCCTGAAGATTTCTGGGATGCGATGATTCAATCCATGGCTCAGAAAGCAAAAGACAAAGCAAAGAGATAAAGAATTTTAAGACAAAGAGAAAAGACAAGAGAGAATTTTATCTTGTCTAGGAACAATGCAATAATTTCCTAAAGGCAAATGCATGCAAATTAAGATAAGAAGGAATCTTATTTTAAAAGTTAGCAAATAAAAAGATATGAATCTTATCTTAGAAAAAGCAAATAAGAGGGAATCCTGCTTTTACTTTATTATGTAAGAAAGTTTTGTTGTTTGTGAATTAATTTTGTGCCGATGGGGCCCAATGTGTACCAGACATTAATAATTTATATTTTTTTGTTGTAGCCGGCTATCATAGGTAGCTTTTACCGGCTTAAATAGTAAGCATTTGTATCCCTATATAAGGGGATTTTATTTTCTTTTGTAAGCACGCAATTTCAATACAACAAAGTTATATATGCTCTGCCTCCCTTCTATCCTCTCTCACTAATAAAACTTATAATTGAGATACTGATTCTGCTATATTTCTGATATCAATAAAACATATTTCAGTATAACCCTTAAATTAATCAAATATTTTACTAATATATACTTTTACATCAATAAAATTTCAGTGTATATTATAATAAAAATAAACTTATATTGTAATTTTAAATGATTACTATTTAATAAAATGAAATTAATAATTAAAATAGTTAAACATTAATTAAATAAATTCATTTATTTATTTAATATATTAAATTAATTTAAATTAAATCGTAATTCTATAAAATTTAAATCAATTAAATAGTAATTTTAATTAAATTAAATATTATTTAAATAAAAATAAAACCTATACAGTAATAGATATTAAACTTATATTGTAGTTTTAAATGATTACTATTTAAGAAAATGTAATTAATAATTAAAATATTTAAATATTAATTAACTAAATAAATATATTCAATTATTATATTAAACTAATTTAAATTAAATTGTAACTTAATTAAATATTAATCAACTAAATAGTATTTTATAACTCAATTAAATATTAATCAAGTAAATCATATTTAATTCAAGTTTAATAGTAATCAAATTATATGTAACAGATTTATTATATAAGTTCCATATTTAATAATATTAATTTATTATATAATTTCATAATATAAAACATATTGTATATTATTATTTAATTAATATTACTATTTATTAAGTCAACATAATATTTAAATTATTTATTAAGAAGCAATCAAATTAAGTTAATAACATGTAAATCTTAAATAAAATTAATGTAATAATTCTATTCATTCAGATGTGTAAAAATATAATTAATCAAATAGAAATCAAATTAATAAAATGTAAATCTTAAATATAATTAATCACAAAAATTATTTATATCTTATTTCTAAATAGTCATTTATGTATTATTAAAAATTAAGTAAATATTTGTTTATGTTTTATTAAATAATAAATAATTTTCAAATTTAATATTAAATTAATAATTATATAATAAATTAAAATTATTAAATATGAAATATATAGGATTTTTATATAGTTTGTATACAAAATTCATATTTAATAATATTAACATATCATATTCTTTTGGAAAAGATATACTTTATTAATCAAAAAAACCCGATATAAGCAAAGCGATCCCAAAGGGTATCCAACTGAACAAGGACACTAGAATCCAACGAGAGACAACCATCTAAGGCAACAAAAGACTACCCAAGTTTTGGCTTTATCCAACATCTAAGCACAATAGTGTCTAACGATTTTAGGCCCTATCAAGCTCTTACTAGTGTCATTCCCAAAACAGATATCATTCTTATACTTCCAAGTCTCATATATGGTATCAACAAAAGCACATTTCAAAATACTAGCTTTGCTACCCTTGTTCTTGCTCATGTCAATAATCCATTTGAACTCGTCACTCCATATACTAGGAGCGTGGTCAATCTAACAACTAATCACTAACTCACTAACGATATTATTGTACTAATTTGTGTTTATGTTATCTTCTTGCTCCTTATCTCTCTTTTATCTTTATGCTCCATTATTATCATCTCATATTATATTATTGTTTATGCTTCCTTTATTTTCCCTTTGTTTGTTGGACACATGTTTATGTTTCAGCTCTTTTCTTTTGTCCACTTAGACCATATCTTGTTTAAATCACTAATAAAGGATTAAACCTCTAAAAAACTTGGTGCTCTTAACTTTGTGGTTATGCTCTTGGACTATTCTTAGACCTTGGACTTCTTGGACTATTCTTGGACCCTTGGACTTAGAATTAGGACTCTTTCCCTATGCTTTGAGTATTATGGATCTTTGCCTTTACTTGGCTTGCTCATTTACTTATGCTCAAGGCGGGCGGAATTCTTATTTGGATTACTATGGAGTATGCTACAATTTGGTTAGATCTTTATTATCTCTAGCTTTTATTTTTCTTTCTAGGATAGTCACTTCATCTTCTCCCCTTCTTAAATTTTCAAAGTCTCCTCCTTTTTTCAAAAACTTTCTTTCTTTCAAACTTAAAACCGCTTTCATAATAAAACTTTGACTTTTGTCAAGTGATTTTCAAAATTTGTTTTCTTTAATAAATGTCAATCAATGTTAATCATATTTTGACAAATTTCAAAAAGACTTTAAAAAAGATCAACCTCACTCAAACTTTTTGTGCCTTTGTGCACTTTTCACTTTAAAGCTCTTCATAAAGTTTAGACAGGAGTCATTTCCATAGTCGAGATATAACTCTCCTATTCCCCATAGTATTAAGATGTTGACATTTTCCACTTAGCTGTTGAGTGATAGACTTGTTGATTTTAATCCAAGTAAAATCCTCCATCTTTAGGTGATGCAAATGTTGTCTTATGCTTGTGGGTGACTAGTCGTAGTTTTCTCATTAAAATGACGACTTGTCTTTACATTTAAAAATCAATCAAAATAAATCATTTTTTGTTATTTGTACCATAAACTATGAGGTTTTGATCCTATATTACACTTTATGGATTTATAGGCATGAGGCGATAAGCCTCTCCAAACACAAAAATATTTAAAAAATAATTCACTTCTCATCTCCCCAATCTCATTTTAAACAAACTTTTTCAAACCAAAAAGCATAGATATTTTAAAAGGCTATTATAGACTACTATAGACATTTTGGGTGCTAACACCTTTCCATTGCATAACCAACCCCCTTACCCAGATCTCTGTTTTTGTTCTTGTTTTAGAACTCTTAGGTTTTGTTCGCTCTTTTTTCTTTCCTTTTTCTAATAAAATAAAAGTGCGGTGGCGAC